CCTGCTTTTTAAAGCTGCAGCTTGCACAGCTGTAACTTTCTGTTGAGCAAAGCAGAACATTGTGCATCAAAAGAAAGGTACTTTGTCCAAGATAAATTATGCATTCTTATTTAATCCAAAAAGGACTAAAATACATTGCTCATTTTTATCTGGAAACAGGGCTAACTTTTAACATGATCCCAAGTTATGGAGTGACCCTGATGATGACATCTTGTAATTCAAGAAAAGTTAATAAAATGCGAATAGAGTAAAAACTTAAACCCTGTGAGTTACTTTCACCCCCAATTTGCTTTTCACATGCAGACATGTAAGCCATATGTAACTGCAGAAAATGAAGTGATCGAAATGATTAACTAATTCAAGACTTAACTAATTCAAAGCTTAAAATTTCATCCTTGCCTTAAGTGCCAAATGGCTGCTTAGATTTACCATGGGCACAAAAATACATATTTCTACTTATGATTGTCTCAGTAGCTGGTGACTATCTTTTTAATAACTGATATATGAATATATACTTCATATGGACCCCATAGGAGCTAACTGAACACACTGGTTTAAATCCATGTTCACTGCCTTGTGTCTTACTGGTATTGTACTCATTAAGATTCCTGAATATTGGGGCTGGAGAGATCTCTTAGTGGTTAAGAGGACTGGCTGCTCTTGCCGAGGACCCAGGTTTGAGTTCCAGCACCCACACGGTGGCTAACAGCTATCTGTAATTCCAGGTCTTGGGGAATCTGATGCCCTCTTCTGACCTCCACTGGGCATTGCATAATATGGGTGCCCTTACACACATGCAGGCACTACACTCACACATATAAAATAAAAATAATAGATAAAAATTTAAAAAGAGTCCGATATTTAATGAGAGTGGCTGTACCGAGCTTGTCTGTCCTCATCCAGCAGTCAACATGACAGTTGTAATGGATACCATTCACTGGAAACTTATTAGTGATTAATGCCTCATTAAGTGGCTTTAAAAATAGCACTCAGTAATGCATTTAATCCTCAGTGAAACCATAATGGAAACAGAGTATTTCATTACAATTTAGTATAGAAAACTAACAAAGAAATTAGATAACTTTCTCACTTTTGTTAAGTGCTGGAACCTGACTACTATGTAGCCACAAAAATCATGCTTTTAAAGGTTATTTAATATAAACATGATTTTCAACATGTAACCAAAAACCCATACATATGTGTTTATATGTAAACTTATGTGTATGCGTTTATGTCTCATACACACACATACACACACACACACACACACACACACACAGAGAGAGAGAGAGAGAGAAAGAGAGAGATGCACATAAAATAAGAGTTTATTGAGTATAAATATGTAGGGGTAAAAATCCTTGAAAGGCCGTATACTAAACTGTTAGCAATTCAGTGTTTGTAATGGGTAATTTGCTCCTTTAGTGACTTTGTATGACCACCAAAATTTATTAAAATGAATATGTATCATTCTGAAAAATCAAATAAAAGCAATAATATTCTTTAAAATAGTATTTTTAAAAATCCATCTGGAAGGTTTAGAAGACTTAAACAGACCAATATCTAGAAATAAATACAAAAATAAAAAGATATTTTCTAAAACAATTCAGATCTCATTAACTTACAGAGATTCCTATTAATATTCTTAGAAGCTACAACCCAGTGCTGTTTCAAACTCCTTGCTTCCCAATAAAAACTTCTGCAACTATAGTTTGTGTGGCTGCTGTGTGCAAGAAGGGAATTTTGAATTTTATCTCATTATAATTAACTTAAATTTAAATATCCATATATGGCTAGTGACTACTATGTTGCACTGATATCAGAACTGTAGACCACAGAAAATGAAAAGTTTGTCAGTTTTCACACACACACACACACACACACACACACACACACACACACACACCAGAAAAATCATTACCTAAACATGATAAAAATACAAACAACAATTTCACATATGAAAACAAGGGTAAAAAGTGAAGAATAAAATATAAAATGCTGACAGATATATTCCAGGATGGGTTAGAGGACCAATATGTACTGAAATTCAGGATGGTTCCATGGTAGGAAATCTATTAATAGAATCTATTCCACTTAATAGATCAA